AAATGTTAATTTAAGTCCTTGCTCTGCTCTTATTAATGGCGTGAACTTAAGCACACTAAGCCGCGCTGTTTTCAACACTGATATGTAGATAATACATTCTCGGAATCCAGGGCTTTGTCCATGCTGAAATGCCATGCAGATACGAGATGCTGCTATCCATTCATTCGTTCTGAAGATCTTTCTTTAGTGCCAGCACTGGGCTGGAACCTTCAGGGAGGTTATGCTTTCTTAGGGAAGACAGACAATGAATAACCAAATAATTGTATGGTATAGTGTCCCTTTGGGAAAAATCGAGGAAGAAGAAACAAGTCAGCACAGGAGGATAAAGAAGAGACAGACCAATGTGACGGGCTGGTTGGGGGGTGTCCTCTCAGGCAGTGACGATGTGTGAACAGAGGCCGGAATGAAGTGAGGAAGTGAGCGGTGAGAATATCAGGAGAACTACTTTCCAGGAAGCATGAGGGAAGACCCACGAATAGGATCTGTGCTAGCAGGAGTGTGGCACGTGTGCTGGTTCCAGAACTTACTGAACACTTACGTGCTGGCACTTTGATTTAGTACTCACCACGCTTGGTGAGCTCCTCTCCTAGGTTCGGCTGTACACGAAGAAACCGAGCCTCCAAGAAGTTAAAGGACTTGGCTCCACCTTTCACACCTGGTAAATGGCAAACCTGAGATTCCAACAGGAGCCCCAGAGCCTGAGTGGTTCGCCAAGACTGGGGCCCGCCAGCAGGGGGCAGTGCGGTGGGAGTCCCTACAGCATTGGCCCCGGGGCAGGGTTGGGACAGGAAATGACAAGGCAGGACCCAGTAGAGCTTTAAAATATTTGGCTGAATACCTAAATGGTGCTGGTTATCTTTTCCTTTTGTGTGAAAACCGCCTTTTGGCCCTTGTGAAGGTGTTTATGTGGGGTCGGGATTGGATGAGCTTATTCAGTGGGGTAATATTCCAGATGTCTCGGTGATTGCCCAAGTAATTAAAACATTTTTGTAAATAACGTGGGTCCTTAATTGTATGGATTCGAACATTACCTTTCTATCCTCGAAGACCTGCTAGCCGCTTCTATTATGCAATATGTTCCTCGCTGGCTTCTCTCAACAGCCATGGGCTCAACCCATGTTTTTGTTTTGTTTTTCTCTTTTTCCTTACTCAGCTACCAATAGAAAAAAAAAAAGCCACCATTTGGGGCCCGTGGAAATTAAAAGTAAACATAGTTTTATCTATAATATAAACGTTTTGCTTTAAAGAAAAAGTCTTGCATTGAGAAACATTGAATGAGATCATCACACTTGTCGTTCTAAATACCAGCCAGAAAGAAACAACAAACTTTACTTTGTCTTGTGCTGTCATTCTTCAGAATTAATTGATAGCTCTTAAATTTCACATCGCAAGTGCCACTTTTCTTTTGTTCCTGTTTTGGTGTTGTGTCTCTCTCCTCCCGAATATATGAACGTAACAAGAAGTAAGAACTGACAAGGAAGCCAAAGTGTTTTCGTGAAGATGCATGGAAAGTTTAGGACTAAGAAGGGGAAAGGACTGAGCAGGATCAGGGCGCATGGCAAGTCCTTTAAGAAAACACCTGTTTCAGATTACAGATTTCTTAATGAGACACACGCAACTCTTGAGTTTAAACATAACACTCCCAGTTCAGTCAACCACCCACGGCCATTCTCCAGGTGTTTGAGATTATGTAATGTCCTGAAAAATCATCTGGATTGTGTCAACTCAGAGTACTGCTTGGGTTTAAAAAAAAAAAAAAAAATCCGCTGCAGGCATTAATTTATACTTAAAGTCTCAGTGTAGCATTTATAGCACTTGAGAAAAATAAATAAATAAAATAAAAGTCATAAATAAGGGGTCATTGGTTTCTGATCTCTTTCCCTCCCAATGGCTAAAAGTATGGGGTTTTTGCTTTAAGTAGTAAAAGGCAGGCATTATGAACTCTGTAAAGCTTCATTGACCAGACTTCTCTAATTCAGATTTTATAGTATTTAGGATGGTGTTTACTCTTGTATTACCAGAGAAAAGAGGACATCCACACTGAGAAAGTAGAGGAAAAGTGGAGATAACTATCTTCTGTCTTTTAGAAACAGCGTTGACATTGCTTTTCTAAAATAAAACTTGCAACACACACACACGCACGCAAACCTCTTTTGGTGTCTGCGTAAATTTTCATCTTTAAATGAGTCATGCTCACCACAATTTGCTTTTTCAAGTTGACCTATTTTTAGATGATTAACAACTTGAAAGTCCCTAGGCTTGGGTAATTGAAAAAACTTTGGGGATGGAAGGAATACGATTTGAAAGAGACTCCTTTTAGAACCCAAAGCTTCAGCCCAAACAGAATGAAAATTGCCTTTATTATGCAGTTATTTTAATTAAAAATGCATGCGTAACAGGAAAAGGAAAGCAATTCTAGACACTGCTCCTTCTAGTTTGACTGGTTGTTTGAGATTTGGAAGCTTTTTATTTGTCCTCTTCCATTTTTAAGCTTTGCATGAGGTCCTAAGTGCTTCATTCCTATTTTGGCCTCTATACTAATTCTAGGTCTTTTCTGTCTAGCAACGTCTTAAGGTCAGAGCTAACTGCTTTTGTCCTCTCACATAGTATGGCGCTATTCTTCCAATTCTTTGTATTTTCCCTTCCGTCTCACAGCCTTCCTGGCCAGTCCCTGTTCACCTAAAGAGGGAACAAATATTCACCAGCATCTCTGCAGAGTAAAGCATATCACTTATTTTCATTCGCTGATTAGTGGTAGCATCTTTTTATTTTCGCAAGATACAAAAGTTGTTTCCGTTGTAAAAAAGTAAACTACTCCTTGCAGAAGACCCAAACTATCAGAAAAGCGGAAAGAGGATATAATAAAATGTACTTGCAATTCCACCCTCTAGAGAAGACCACTGTCCACATTTTGGTGTGTCCGTCCAGGCATCTCCACGCACACCGTAACATGACAAGATACAATCTTTTAAAATGAACCCATTTAAACTCATCACTGTATGTGACCTCTTTAAATAAAATTGCTGTTCAGTAACCTGCTTTCTTTGATTAAATAGTATTTCATTTTTCCGTGTCAGTGAATCGAGATCTACGTCACTTTTTAACAGGTGCGTAATATTTTCTTGTATGGCTGTACCATAATTAGGTGAGTGTACCCTAGTAGACCCATCATCCGGATTGTTCCTGTCTTTTTGCTATCATAATAGACACCGCAAAGATAGGTCTGTGCTGACATTTTGTATTCTTGTTGTCTCCGTAGATTTAGATCTCAGAAGTATGTTTTTTTGTTTTTTTGTTTTTTTTTTAAAGATTTTATTTATTTATTTGAGACAGAGAGAATGAGAGAGAGAGAGCACATGAGAGGGGGGAGGGTCAGAGGGAGAAGTAGGCTCCCTGCCGAGCAGGGAGCCCAATGCGGGACTCGATCCCGGGACTCCAGGATCATGACCTGAGCCGAAGGCAGTCGCTCAACCAACTGAGCCACCCAGGCGCCCTCAGAAGTGTGTTTTTAACGTTTAAATCTTCTATGCATTTGGAACACGTTTCCGTATATAGTGGGGGCTTACTCTCTTTACTCATACGGTCAGCCAGTTGTGTTCCAATACCGCTTATCGGAAAATGCATCCTTGCCATTAGTATAGCAAGTTCCATTTTACCGTGTATCTCAGTCAAGTTGACACAGGAAATTAACCATCCCAACCTAGAGCCTCCAATTTCCATAGCTGTCTGCCTGTCACCTGCTGGGATAAAGGTTGCTGCTGAGACCATTCTGTACAGAGTGTACCTCAGTGTCATTGTTTGGCAGGATGACACATGGAGGGCCCTCATGTCAGCCAGCCCTGATTTCTCCTGTCATAAATGCTCTATATAAGTCTTTGGTTTCAGGAACTGGCATCCAATAAAGTTGGCTCAGGAAAAAGGTGGTTTAGTATAAGGCTACAATATAAGATTTCAACAGCTTGACAGTAGGCAGGTCTTTAATTGTCCTACGGTTGGGGTATGAGAAGGCCGAGTAAATGATGGCCTGTTTCCCCAGCATGAATTCTGAGCCAGTTGAGAAGATGAAAGAGTAAGAAAGATGGCAGACACGAAAAAATACCTTATTTCTGATGAAGCTGATATTGGAGAATGTGACTTCTATCTGCATGTAGCTGAGCTTCCAAATACCGTATGTGGGCGAAACTTAGGCAGACTTTATTCAGATTTCACCGGCTGTGCTGGACCTGTGAAGGCCACGGCCATGGGGGCTGGCCCCTCCCAGATGGACTGGCTTTCTGTGGGCAGGCTGATTACCTAAAAGGAAGGGGAGAACCAGGGGTTTGTCACTTGAAATGTGGCTAGTGTAACTGAGGGGTTGAATTTTTAATTTTGTTCCACTTTAATTAAACTTAAATAGCTACACGCGGCTAGTGGCTCCTCTCTCGGACAGCACAGAATTTCTTTCCATTCTTAGATTTAGTATGGACATGCCCCTGGAAAAGTTGGCTTTAATTTATATGAATTCATTTGATGTTTCACTTGGGTTTATCGAGCACCTAAGCGAGTTTGTATGCCTGGTGTTGGAAATACACTGCCTTTGGATTTCTCAAGTCAGCTTTTAGGGGAAGGTGTGGAGACCTGAAATCTGTCGTCCCACACACCTGGCTGAACATGGCCTTGGTAACATGGCCCAGCTGTTTCGAAGGGAGCCTCCTCTTTCACCCTGAGCTCTAGGACCCATCGTGGTAGGCTGAGGGGACGAGTGGGGGCTTCTGTCACCTGGCTGTGAGCTCTGGCATGCTCAGGGCTGCATCTACATGGAAGAGGGGGCTCCTGTTTGGAATTCTCTCAGAGACATTGTATGGACTAGCATGGTCCTTTCACTAGAGATTCATTCTCTCAGCTTGTGCTACTGTCCTGGTCACCCCTGACACTTTCCTCAGCACATTTTCTATGGAAGAAGTGAACAGTTCTTCATAGCTGCCAAACACCAACTTTTTCTTCTGCTTGTTTTGTCAAAGGTATCTTACCTCCTGGAGGGTGGCAGCATGGCCCATGAAGACTTCTGTGGACATGTTGGTCAGATGAACCCAGGAGACCTGCAGGTATGGCCGAAGATAAGCAATTGCTGATGGTTTAATAGCCTTTGGGTGTGCATGCTTGCTCTCACCCAGTTCCAGTACATTCACACTTTCCTCCTTCTCTCTCTTAAACTTTTGACCTCTTCCTTTTTGTGGATCCTTCCATTCAGCCTAGAAACCTGCACTGGTTTCTTGTATTCCCTCAAGCTTTCCTTGACCCCCTCAGTCACTTTTTAGTTCCCAACTAGTCTTTCTCTTACATTTCTCAAGAGCATAATCAAGGATGATGGTCTTAACTTACTCATCTTCCATTTCATGCTTCACTCACAGAAATCAGGGTTGGCCTCTCTCAACATCCACCCAAACCTCTAGGTTTGCTCAGGCAGTGGTCACTCATGATGTCCCCATGGCCAAACTCAGTGTACCACTTTCTGTCCTCATCTTTCTAGACCTTTCTACTGCATTTGTGACAATTTTTTCTTTTTTTTTTAAAAGGTTTTATTTATTTATTTGAGAGAGAGAGTGAGGGCAGGAGGAGGGGCAGAGAGAGATTCCCAAGCAGACTCGGAGCTGAGCGTGGAGCCTGATGCAGGGCTCGGTCCCACCACCCTGCGATCACAACCTGAGACGAAAGCAAGAGTCAGATGATTAACTGACTGAGCCACCCAGGCATCCCGCGACAATTTACTCTTTGTTTTCCAACTTGTTTGCAGGGGTAAGTGTTGTCACTTAAGACCATGATCCAAATCTTGCCACCGTCCTAGGCTTGTTGGAGACACATTAGAATTAGAAGCCCCAGCAACTCTTGGGTATTCTTTGCTGGGTTTGTAAGTCTGAACTCAATGTCAAGAACTTTCTGGGATTATTTACATATTGTGTGGAATTTTAACTGCAAATATTTGAATTGTGTTTCAATGAACATGAAATTGAAAGCATTTTCATGTGAATAATCTCTCTAAAGTAAGTATTCTTTTTACCTCATTTTTAAAATGAGAGAATGGGAGTGCCTGGGTGTGGCTCAGTCGGTTAAGTGTCTGCCTTCGGCTCAGGTCATGATCCCAGGGTCCTGGGATCAAGCCCGCGTCAGGCTCCCTGCTCAGCAGCGAGTCTTCTTCTTCCTCTGTGATCCCTCTCGCTCTCTGTGAAATAAATGAATAAAATCTTTTTAAAAAATGAGAGAATGGGGATTTAAAGATGTTGAAAAAAGACGTCCATGGCCTCAGAGCTTGTAAATAGCGAGGTGGAAAAGAGAAATCTCTCTCCCCCTCCAAATCTAATCGGTGGGCTGTACATATTAAGAAAGTTCCTGCCAAACTAGGTTATATCTAAAAAAGGATAAACAAGGTATGAAAAGTAGATTGAAAATATGGAGAGATAAACTGAACAAAACAGAAAAACACACGGGAGGCCAAGTCTCTGAGGAGCCCCAATAGCTGCCATCAGATGGAAGAAGCGTAGCGTGGGGCAGTGCTGAGATCTCCTTCATGTTGTGTTAGAGCTGTGGTCAGCGAATGTTTTCTGTAAGAAGTGGATAGCACCTATTTTAGGTTTCGTGGGTCATATAGTCCCATATGTGGCAACCACTCTGTCCTACCTTCGCAGCATGTGAGCAGACAGACAGCGTGTCACTGAACGGGCGCGTCTGTGTGTCAGTAACACTTACGTACAGAATCAAGTGGCAGGCTGGATTTGGCCCCTGGGCTGTCATTAGCAGACCCCTGTACTAGAAGGTGTCATCAGTCTGGTCAAATGGAAGATGGAAATCTATTTAGATTTAGTGATAGAAAGAAAACTAAACTATGTAGTGGCCTTCTTTCAGATCTGGGAACGGATATTGCCCATTCTGGTCTCAGAGTCTTTTCACCTGCTGTTCCCTTTGTATGGACTCCCTTCCTCTCGCCCTTCCCGGGTTACTTCTTACTCCTTGTCTGGGTCCCAGCCTGAAGGTTCCGCCCTCAGGTAAGCTCCCCCGCCAGCGCCAAGTACAATTTTCTCCGCACGAGGGCCGGCTGGAGGATGCTGTCGGTGGCCTGCCTCTTGGCCCTCTGCCCCACCCCCGAGTCCAGGTGGCAGCAGTCCCCGTGTGTGTGCGCGCATGCACGGCTGTCCATCTCGCGCGCAGCTACACTGCCCAAGGGCGCTCTCAGCTTCCGGATGTGCTCGGGATTGGACACCCCCAGAAGAAGTCTTGTCAGAGAGGGATGGGAGTTGGCTACCCATCTGTGAGCCCCGGGGGCCCACAGATGGCCCCTGCTCGTCCCCACCCCTTTTTGGCTTTCTCCCTTGCCGAGCTTGCTCTTTCCTTCTTCACTTGTGCTTTCTATAGCACGTCCCAAAGAAAGACTTGCCCTTCACTCCTAGTCTCGGGATTTCTGTGTCAGAAGCCAAGCTAGGACAGGCGGGGAACCTGTCTGCCATGTTCCATCCCTAGGTCCCGAGGTTAGTGTCTGGGGCTGGCCCCTGATGACGCTCTCGATAAAGACATAAACAGATGCTTGCAGAATGTGCACACCGGTGGAGGCAATTACTGCGCCAGGTAGTGAGGGCTCCATTAGCGGAACCGAGCAAGCACAGACCAGTCCCCTGGGCACGGGGCAGTGGATGCCGCGGGCCCCCTCACGGATCTGTAGGCGGAGGCCCATGGCCTCCAGCTGCGCCAATAGGGCCTAGCGGCGGCTCTCAGCTGCGTCCTATCCTGGGCCCCGCGCTCTGCAGCAGGCGCGGTCTCTGCCCGCCTGTGCTCCCACGGCTGTGCTCCCCGCTGCGGCTTGGGTCCCGGTTAATGGCGTGCCCATGTGGGGATAGGAAAGCTCGGCCACCTCGTCTCAATTTGGGACAATTCGGAAGGTTCAGCCAACACTGGAGCTCCGTGTTGGATCGGCCGAGGCGTCCGTTGTAACTGCGCTGCGCCTTGGCTTCTCCCCCAGCCTGGTCGTGTGCTTTTCACGTAAGGTGTAGCTCCTGAGAGTGGTTCCCGGCATACTGTCCCCCTGCAGCTCCCCGTCTCAGAGCTCAGTCTAAGACTCGGGGCGCCCAAGCGAAGAGCCTTCCGTTTGTGTGACTTTCAGGTCTGATGCTTTGAATTCAAATGAGGAAGCTTGCAGAGCTTTTGGAATCCTGGAAATGGCTTCAGCAGTTGTCACTGTTGCTTTGTTGTTCCTCACCACCCCGAAAGCAGCGCTTGTAAGGGGCCTGGCTTAGTCCCCATGACACAGTTGCCCCACCTGCAGACTTGTTAGAGGCTGGGTTACATTTCCTTCTTGTTGGTCCGCTGTTTGCAGTGGATGACCGCAGGCCGGGGCATTCTGCACGCCGAGATGCCTTGCTCAGAAGAGCCAGCCCATGGCCTCCAACTGTGGGTTAATTTGCGAAGCTCAGAGAAGATGGTGGAGCCTCACTACCAGGAGGTGAAGAGTAAAGAAATCCCCAAACCCAGTAAGGATGGTGTGACGGTTGCCGTCATTTCTGGAGAAGCCCTGGGAATAAAGGTGAGCTGCGCTGTTACGGGTCTGTGAAAGCCGAGGTGTGCAGTCACGTGAGGCTGGCCCCATCGGGGTCTCCGGGTCTCGCTGGGTGGATCACAGTTCACATCCCACGGGGTGGACTTGATTCAGAGGTGTCAGAAGAAGTGGAACCCAAAGGAACCCAGACCTTTTTTGCTACGTGCAAACCCATAGAGTTAGGGAAATTTCAAGAAAGCAAGCTCGTATAAAAAGTGTGGTCAAAAGCAATTTTCAAGGTCTAAGGATGTGTGCGAATTATAGCCTCTCACTTATTGTACAGTTTTATAGCTCCTTGGTACTGCACGTTTGTGACCTTTAAGAGACAAATAACCCAAACCAGCTCCACTCCTTGAAGATTTATTTAAATCATTTAAGCCCAACTTAGTAAGGAAAGCACACTACTATATCATAGAAAGGGTTTTTTTTTTTTTTTTTAATTAACTTGAACATTGATTTAACCCACACATGCCATGCCCTGTACATTCTTCTCAGCTGAGACTTTATAATATTTAGGATTAGGGTCCCACCTTTTTGATCAAATAAGACCAATTGAGGCTAAAGATTATGGACATATTTGTGGTAGGAGAAGGGTGTGGCTCAAGTCCCTTGTTCATTAACTGCCACTGGGTTGGCCAAATGATTCGTGCTAATGAAGTGGCACGGTAGTGAGCCGGGTCGTGTAGTCTCTTAGGGGGCGTTTCCCAGAGGCAAACCCTGAGCTGGGAATTCCTGTTATTGTAAAGGAAGTGCCCCTAGAGAACAGGAGAAGGAACCAGGGCAAGGAAGGGAAGGGAGCCAAGCAAGGGTGTCCTCTCAAGCAAAGTCGCAAAGAGGACAGGGACTCCAAAAGGTTCAGTCTGCCTTCAGGTTGTCCTGACCCACCCCGGGCAAGGGAGCTGGGCTTTCCTGTTCTCTTCCTCGAAGTCATTACCTAATGGCCGTTGAGTTTGGGCTGGGGGCACGGAAATGGTTACAAGGGTTCCTCGGGGATCTGGAGGGCTGTATCCACAGTTTCACAAATGCCACCTGGGGCGGAGAGCATCAACATATTGGGAACCACTGTGCCATTCTCCCTGTGGGCGGTCAGCACCTAAAACTATTTTAAACACTAATTTTTGTAAACTTAAATGTCACTTATATGCACTGACAGGGATAATGGCTTGGCAGTGGCTACTAGCCAACCACTCAGTGGAATATGTGTCATGGTTAACAGGTTGGTCAGGATTATTGGTTGGGACTTACCGGTGTGTATTTATATCTCCTGTTTTGCTGAATGTTGGGTAGTGCCCTTTTCAAATGTATGGCAAATGTGTCCTACCTTTCAGCTCCACAGAGCAGAATTCAGATCCTGCGGCGTCTTCCTGGTACAAGGCGAAGGACATTGCCGTGTATAGGAAGGATCAGGCAGGGAGGCCTAAGGAGAGCTGAATTCATGCAGAAGCTAAGCGGCTCATTCTGTTTCCTGGGCTATTTTTCATTCTGGGTTTCCAGAACTCTGGGGTTCTAGGGACCTCCTTTCAGGGGATACTGATCGTGGAGGTCAAGAGATTTTCCCCTCTTCACTCCCAACCAAAGCACAAGGCTTTGCCCAGTCATGTATATTGGAATGGTCGTTAAGATTTCATTTAGAAAAAAAGCTATCTGCAGCTAAAAAGAGAAATGAGACCATGGATTTAACAGATAAGCAAAGCCATTATTATCACGAATCCTTAGAGTTCACAACTGCTTCTCATTTATAGACAACACGATGCAGTTTTAATGTTGGAGCCGGTTCCAGTTACAGGCAGAAGGACATTTTCAAGTACTCCCAAGCAGCAGACCGCATGGTCTTTTTTTTTTTATTAAAGATTTTTATTTATTTATTTGACAGAGAGAGACACAGCGAGAGAGGGACTACAAGCAGGGGGAGTGGGAGAGGGAGAAGCAGGCTTCCTGCCCAGCAGGGAGCCCTATGTGGGACTCAATCCCAGGGCGCTGGGATCATGACCTGAGCCGAAGGCAGACGCTTAACGACTGAGCCACCCAGGCGCCCTGGACCGCATGTATGGTCTTTGCGATCACAACCAAGAATGAGAGGCCAGAGGTCATGTTTTTTAACTTTGTAAAACAATGTCCTAGTGGTTGCTGGCCTCTCTTTTTCTTTTTGTCAAGTAAAATCTCTGAAGTGAACTACATTCTCCTAAGTACACGATCAGGCTTTGTTATGGGAGCAATTTATTAAGGGACTGTTGGAACCCTGGGCAGCATCACTTTGACTTTTGAGAGGCCGTGTGGCGCTATGGTTACCAGCATGGCTTCCGGAGACAGCCGGCCTGGATTGGAATCCCCACCTTGAATTAGCTGTGTGGCCTTGGGCAAGCCACTTAACCTCTCTGTGCTTCACTGTATTCATCCGTAACAGGGTTGCTGTGAGGATTAAGTGAGTTTTTGATATGTTTAAGCTATCCGGACAGCATCAGACACGCTGTAAGCACCACGTGAGCGATAGCTGTTACTATTATTATTTTGATTAGTTCATGTTCACTTGGGCAGGAGCTGGGCTGAGATTTATGTTTGCTGTCTGTCCTAAAGGGACTCGCGGGGATTCGGGAAAGGCATTTAACCTGCTCTGAAGAAAACACAGCAGTAGGAGTCATTGTAAGGATGGGGGATTGGCCATGTCTTTTCCAGGTCTCATAAGAAACATAGTTTTTTTTTTTTTTTTTTTTTTTTACATCTGAAGGCTTAATATCTGTTCACCAAGGAGTGACTGAGACTTAAAAGCCTAGACATACCTTAAATCAAACTGTAGATTGTTTTGCATCAGAAGATGATTTTAAGTTCAATTACAAGGTGAGGCTGGGAAGCTACTTTCAAGAGATGGATGTGCTTCTAGCCAATATGGAGTCAATGACCGCTCCCCTCCTGCAACTAAAATATCTAGAAAATGGAGTTAGTGACCATCCCAGCACTTCTTCAACTTTATTCATATGGATTACCTGGGGGGGAGGGAGGAGGCTTGTTAAAATGCGGACTGATTCAGCCTGTCCTGTGAGGCCTGAGTCTGCATTTATTTATTTATTTTTTAACTAGGCTCTTCGCTGGGTGGGCTTGGACTCGTGACCCTGAGATCAAGACCTGAGTTGAGATCAAGAGTCCGACGCTTAACTGACTGAGCCACCCAGGTGGCCTGCGAGACTGTTTTTTTTTTTTTTTTAAAGATTTTATTTATTCAAGAGCCAGAGAGCAGGAGCAGGGCGAGGGGCAGAGGCAGAGGCAAAGGGAGAAGGAGAAGCAGACTCCCCACTGAGCAAGGAGCCCGAGGGGAGGCTCCATCCCAGGACCCTGGGATCCTGACCTGAGCCGAAGGCAGATGCTTAATGACTGAGCCGCCCAGGCGCCCTGTGAGTCTGTATTTTTTTTTTTTAAGATTTTATTTTATTTATTTGATAGAGACACAGCGAGAGGGGGAACACAAGCAGGGGGAGAGGGAGAGGGAGAAACAGGCTTCCCGCGGAGCAGGGAGCCCGATGCAGGGCTCGATCCCAGGACCCTGGGATCCTGACCTGAGCCAAAGGCAGACACTTAACGACTGAGCCACCCAGGCACCCCAACAAGTCTGTATTTTTAACCAGCTCCCAGATGATGCCCGTGCTGTTTGTCATATGTGTAATGAATGACTGTGGGATCCAAGACACAGGAGTTGACTCGTCATGAGGAACAGGTTGATTATGTGCCTAGGGAAGGTGTTCAGGTTCAGCTCTGTGGCTTTTGGCAAATCTTACCTAACTTTTCTGGATTTTAGTTTCGACATCCATTTGTGCAGGGTGTTAAAAGCTTGTTTAAAGTCCTTTTTTTTTTTTTTCAGTCTGAAAGGTAGATGTGTCCCTCTTCCCAGGTTGTGTATGTCTCAGCACTCGGGAAGCCACAACCAATTTTGAGCAAAATTCTGCCAGAACATCACGATCTCAAGTGAAGGCTGAAAGGAGGAAAGGATAAAAATGGGATACTTTGCATAGTTTCTGTCACTTCTGGAAGGTCAAAAATCACATGTTTATTTCATGACAGTATGAAATTCTCCAAAGCCCATTCCATCCTTACCAGGCAGCCCATCAGCAATGTTTCTTGGCCGTTCTCTCTGGAATATAATGCCTCTATTTGTCTCCTGCTGTTTTAAATTCCACTGTGTCAGAAGCAAACCTTAAGGAGGCCTCAGTCCCACTGGGGTCAGAAAAAGGCAACCTGGAGCCAGGCTGCCTGGGTTCAAGGCCAGCTCCACCACAGAGTAACTTTAGAAAGGCCACTTAAGCTTGCCAGGCCCAAGTGTTCTCATCTGTAAAATGGGTCGAGAGGATTAAATTGGTTAATATGTGTAAAGAACTTAGAACAGTATCTGGTGCAGAATAAGCTCTAAGTATTTGCTGCTTTTAGTTTGCAGAAGCTTTGTACATTGTTCATGTGGCCTATAGACATAACGAAAAGGATCTTCCTTCTGATGGACGGATTGTATATCCACGTGTTGGATGATAATCAACATTTTCAAAATTCACTTTCCAAAAAGTGTCGGCCAAGCATCTCCTGTCATTCCCTCAGATTTCACCACTGTACCTCAACACCTGAAACAGTGCCTGATACATACCAGACAATTCATGAACATTTCCTAAGTGCATAAGTGAAATCATTACAATGTAAATGAATGCTGGAATAGGAGAAACGGGTGAAGTAGTAAGAAGGTAGACAATCTAGGGGTTAAGAATGATTGCAATAAGCTTAATATGAGCTAATTAAAAAGTTGAGAGAACAGTAAAATTAGCTAAATTGCATTTTTAAACTACTAAAGGGATTACGAAGTAGAGAAATTAAAAAAAGATCTTTTTCCTTTAAATGTGAATACTAGGCTGTTTTGCAAGACCCAAATTGTTCCCTGCAGGTTTCTTAAATTCAAGCAGTGACAACAGGGATGGGCAGAGATGTGGAGGCTTGGGGGTCCACAGGAAGCTATCTTC